ATCATTTAAAGAACTTTATGGGCAGAGTTTTTTGATGCATTCATGTAATAGACTAAATTTCGCCGATAGTAGATTATGAAAAACCACGTGTCTTGATACCGAGTAATTACATAAGGACCTATTGTTTTTTCTCCCATCCAAACTTAAAAAGATTTTTTCAGGTTGAACCATTACTGATGAAAGATTGGTGTGCTATTATGGATTGGTCACCTAATGTGGACCACAAAGGCGATTATTTGCAGTTGTGGAACAATCATCACTTGGATAAGGTGGGGACTCAACTTAACAAAAAGGCTTCTCCAAGCTAAATGCAAAAACCTTGCCCATAATGGAAGAAAATGTGGATATTACGGGGGTTACTTAAACCGATACTTCGAAATTACTAAAAGATTATTTGCTATTTTTTCCTGCATTGTCTGCATTGCTGGGCATGGCTTACCCACTTATAAGTTTTTGTCATTTTCTTCACTTTGTTATTCCCAATTTCAAAGAAAGCTGAGATGGAGAATAACTCAGTACTTCTTTAAGCCCACCGTAGACCATGATCCAGCCATTACAAGCAACAAAACAAAGATTTGAAAGCAGCCGAGTTATCATATCAAAAATGGAAAAAAATAAAAAACAAGCTTCGCTGCTCTAACTGATATTGGTACTTTCTGTTTTAGGCAGTTGCTCAATCTCAATTATTCATTAACGAATGCCGTCGAGCCTTGGGACTTTCGATGAAATTCTGGGTTGCTGAAATTCATGAAATCGTCAAAAACACAATAATGCATTTCTCTGAACTTCGAGTAAAATGTGTTGACCTCAACGATGCGCTAAAACAGGTACGTTGTTTCTTTTAGCTAAAAAAAACTCTAAGTGATGTCAAAATTCCAGTTGGACCTCACTGCTACACCTCACAAAATCAAATCGACACCGTCGAAACGGCGATCGTTCATTGACCTCCTGGAACTTAGGGACAAACTGATGCGAGGATCCACTGAACACAACAAAAAGAACGGATCTCATGTGTCAGTTGCAAGGTGTGCTCGCTTCGCTTCTAACTCTTTCCTGTCTTACTTTTGCAAATTGGAGATTCGCTATAATAGGGAAG